CCCTGTTCCCGGGTGACTCCGAGATCGATCAGCTGTTCCCATTGTTCCCATTGCCCTGTCCCTGTGATGTCCCCAATGTCCCCAATGTCCCCGTAGATCACTCGCCCGTGCCCTGTTCCCCGGCGATTCCGAGATCGATCAGCTGTTCCCATTGTCCCCAATGTCCCCAATGTCCCCAATGTCCCCACAGATCACTCGCTGTGCCCTGTTTCCCCGGCGATTCCGAGATCGATCAGCTGTTCCCATTGTCCCCATTGCCCTGTCCCTGTGATGTCCCCCAATGTCCCTGTGATGTCCCCACAGATCACTCGCCGTGCCCTGTTTCCCGGCGATTCCGAGATCGATCAGCTGTTCCCATTGTCCCCATTGCCCTGTCCCTGTGATGTCCCCAATGTCCCAGCAGTGTCCCCATTGTCCCCAATGTCCCCACAGATCACTCGCCGTGCCCTGTTTCCCGGTGACTCCGAGATCGATCAGCTGTTCCCATTGTCCCCAATGTCCCCAATGTCCCTGTCACCCCACAGATCACTCGCCGTGCCCTGTTCCCCGGTGACTCCGAGATCGATCAGCTGTCCCCAATGTCCCCAATGTCCCCAATGTCCCCAATGTCCCCAATGTCCCTGTCACCCCCACAGATCACTCGCCGTGCCCTGTTCCCCGGTGACTCCGAGATCGATCAGCTGTCCCATTGTCCCCAATGTCCCTGTCACCCCACAGATCACTCGCCGTGCCCTGTTCCCCGGTGACTCCGAGATCGATCAGCTGTTCCCATTGTCCCCAATGTCCCTTTTTTGTCCCCACAGATCACTCGCCGTGCCCTGTTTCCCGTGACTCCGAGATCGATCAGCTGTTCCGCATTTTCCGCACGCTGGGCACCCCGGACGAGGCCGCCTGGCCGGGGGTGTCGGCCCTGCCCGACTACAAGGCCACCTTCCCCCGCTGGGCCCCGCCAGGACCTGGCCAAGGTTCTGCCACCGCTGGACGACGAGGGACGCAAGCTCCTGGCGGTGAGGGGACACAGGGGACACTTCCTCCCGAACTGTCACACCTTTTCCCCAAGTTTTCCTGGGTTTCCCCCACTTTTTCCTTGATTTCCCCCAATTTTCCCTGATTTTCCCCAATTTTTTCCTGGATTTTCCCTGATTTTCCCCATTTTTCCCTGATTTTCCCCAATTTTCCCTGATTTTTTCAATTTCTCTTTGATTTTCCCCAATTCTCTTTGATTTCCCTCAATTTTCCCTGATTTTTCCCCAATTTTCCCTGATTTTTCCCCTTTTCCTTGATTTTCCCCACTTGTCCCTGATTTTCCCCACTTTTCCCTGATTTTTCCTCAATTTTTCCTTCATTTCCCCCCATTTTTTCCCTGATTTTTCCAATATTTCTTTGATTTTCCCCAATTTTTTCCTTGATTTTCCCCATTTTTCTCCCTGATTTTCCCCAAGTTTTCCCTGATTTTCCCCAATTTTTCCTTGATTTTCCCCAATTTTTCCTTGATTTTCCCCACTTTTTCCCTGATTTTCCCCAATTTTTCCTTGATTTTCCCTGATTTTCCCCACTTTTTCCTTGATTTCCCCCAATTTTCCCTGATTTTTCCACTTTTTTCCTTGATTTTCCCCACTTTTCCTTGATTTTCCCCACTTTTCCCTGATTTTTCCAATTTTCCCTGATTTTTCCCCAATTTTCCCTGATTTTTCCCCTTTTCCTTGATTTTCCCCACTTTTCCCTGATTTTTCCACTTTTTCTTTGATTTCCCCCATTTTTCCCTGATTTTTCCAATTTTTCTTTGATTTTTCCACTTTTTCTTTGATTTTCCCCACTTTTCCTTGATTTTCCCCATTTTCCCTGATTTTTTCACTTTTTCTTTGATTTTTCCAATTTTTCTTTGATTTTTCCCCAAATTCTCCTGGAATTTCCCCCAATTTTCCCTGATTTTTCCACTTTTTCCTTGATGTTTCCCCCACGTTTCCCTGATTTTTCCCCACTTTTCCTTGATTTTCCCCACTTTTCCCTGATTTTCCTCAATTTTTCCTTGATTTCCCCCCATTTTTCCCTGATTTTTTCCACTTTTTCTTTGCTTTTTCCCAAATTCTCCTGGAATTTCCCCAATTTTCCCTGATTTTTCCACTTTTTCCTTGATATTCCCCACTTTTTCCTGATTTTCCCCCAATTTTTCCTTGATTTCCCCCAATTTTCCCTGATTTTTTCCACTTTTTCCTTGATTTTCCTCCCCACTTTTCCCTGATTTCTTCCCCACTTTTTCCTTGATTTTCCCCACTTTTCCTGATTTTTCCACTTTTTCCTTGATTTTCCCCACTTTTCCTTGATTTTCCCCACTTTTCCCTGATTTTCCCTCAATTTTTCCTTGATTTTCCCCAATTTTCCCTGATTTTTTCAATTTTTCTTTGATTTTCCCCAATTCTCTTTGATTTTCCCCACTTTTCCCTGATTTTTCCCCAATTATTCCTTGATATTCCCCACTTTTTCCTGATTTTCCCCAATTTTTCCTTGATTTCCCCCAATTTTCCCTGATTTTTCCACTTTTTCCTTGATTTTCTCCAATTTTCCCTGATTTTCCCCGATTTTCCCCCACTTTTCCCTTGATTTCCCCCAATTTTCCCTGATTTTTTTCCAATTTTCCCTGATTTTTCCCCAATTTTCCCTGATTTTTCCCCAATTTTCCCTGATTTTTCCACTTTTTCCTTGATTTTCCCCACTTTTCCCTGATTTTTCCCCACTTTTCCCTGATTTTCCCCACTTTTCCTTGATTTTCCCCACTTTTCCCTGATTTTCCCCAATTTTTCCTTGATTTTCCCTGATTTTCCCCACTTTTCCCCGATTTTCCCCACTTTTCCTTGATTTTCCCCACTTTTCCCTGATTTTCCTCAATTTTTCCTTGATTTCCCCCCAATTTTCCCTGATTTTTCCAATTTTTCTTTGATTTTCCCCAATTTTTCCTTGATATTCCCCAATTTTCCCTGATTTCCCCCACTTTTCCCTGATTTTCCCCAATTTTTCGTGGATTCCCCACTTTTCCCTGATTATCCTCAATTTTTCCTTGATTTCCCCCAGTTTTCCCCTGATTTTTTCCAATTTTTCCTTGATTTTCCCCAATTTTCCCTGATTTTTCCCAATATTCCCTTTTTTCCCTGCCTTTTTCCCCATTTCCCCCATTTTTTCCACTTTTCTCCCATTCTTCTCCCCATTTCCCCTCCCCTTTTCCCCCCTTTTCTCCCATTTTTTTCCTCATTTTTTCCTCATTTTCCCCTCATTTTTCCCCATTTTTTCCCCCATTTTCCCCCATTTTTTCCCCATTTTCCCACACTTTCCCCCATTTTTTCCCAATTTCCCCCTTTTTCTCCCCAGCAAATGCTGCACTACGACCCCCAACAAGCGAATCTCGGCCAAGGCCGCCCTGGGCCACCCCTTCTTCAGGGACGTCACCAGAGCCGTGCCCCACCTGCGCCTCTGACCCCAAAAACGGCCCCAAAGCCCCCAAAATATCCCCTAAATTATCCCAAAATCCCCCTAAATGGCCCCAAATGGCCCAAAAATGGCGCCAAAAATGACCCCAAATCCCCCAAAACGGAGCCGAAACCACCAGAAATGGCCTGGAAATAACCCCAAATCCACAAAATGACCCCAAAATTGCCCCAAATCCCCTCACAAATGACCCCAAAAATGAGCCTAAAACCTCCTATATGCCCCAAATCCCCAAAAATGGCCCTAAATGTCCCCTAAATGACCCCAAATCCCTCCAAAATGGCCCTAAAATAACCCAAAATGTCCCTAAAATTCCTCCAATTGTCCCCAACTCACCCAAGTGTCCCCAAAATCCCTCAAACGTCCCTAAAGTAACCCAAAAAGCTCCGAAATGGCCCCAAAAGGATCCAAAAAAGCCCCAAGATGCCCCTGAGACTCCTCCTAATGTCCCAAGACCCCTCAAAATGTCCCCAAATCTCCTCAAAAGACCCCAAATGTCCCCACAAACATCCCCTAAACGTCCCCAAAATCCCCAAAATTGTCCCCAAAAACGTCCCCAGGAGGGGTCCCAGGCCACCTCCCCCCCTCCAATGCCACCCCCCTCGATGTCCCTTTGTCCCCTGCCCCCCCCCCCCCCCCCTTGTCCCCGCTCGCGGCTTTTGGAGCCGAAATTTTTTTTTGGTAATTTTTTGGCAAAAAATTTGTAATAAAAATTCTTTTGGTTGTTGTTGTTTTTTTTTAATTTGGGGGGAGCGGGGTCACGGTGGCCTTGTCACCTCTAGGGGTGGCCTGTCACCTCAACCCCCCCCCCCAAAAATGTCCCTAAAATCCCCAAAAATGTCCCTAAATTCCCCCGAAATGTCAAAAAATCCCTCCCAAAGGCCCTGAAAATGTGTCTCGAAACCTCCCCAAGTGTCCCCAAACCCCAAAAAATGTCCCCAAACCCCCCCAAATTGTCCCCCAACTCCCCTGAGGGGAATCTCAGGCCACGCCCCCTTACCTTTAGGCCACGCCCCATTTATGGTCATGCCCATCGCACCATCGGAGCGTTCTGATTGGTCCATTCAAGCCACGCCCTCAGCCTGAGCGTTTCCGGCTGTCCCCGCTGTCAATCACACCCGGCGTCTTCTCTGATTGGGCAAGGTTTCAGCTCCGCCCGACTTCTCATTGGGTGATGCAGCCGCGGGGCTCCGCCCCCTCCGGTCACCTTATTTGTTGTTCGCTCCGCCCTCCCGCGCGTCTCCGCTCTCCATTGGTCGCTTTCTATGTCACTCAGCACAAGCCCCGCCTCCTCACCGCCTACCCTCCTCCCTATTGGCCACGCTTTGTCTTCTCTTTATTGGCCGCTCTGCTGACCATCACCCCTTCTCGTCTACCTATTGGTGGAGCTCTGTGGGGCGGTGCCCTCCTCGCTTCCCATTGGCGGAGCGCAAAGGCGGGCTCTTCGCTGATTGGTCCACGCCTTGATTAGTCCCGCCCCCCTCCGTGAGGGCTTGGCGGAGCCGCTGTTTGTGCGCTCGGGGCCGTGCCGGGAGGGCCCGGAGGTACGGGAGGGGCGGGCGGGGGGTCCCGGTGGGACCGGCGGTGCTTGGGGGGGCTGCACCGGGCACCGACAGTACCCAAGCACGGAAGGGAAACCGGGAGGAATCGCGCCGGGCCGGGTCCGGCCCGCTGAGGGCGCCGAGGGGAGGGCGGGACCCCCCCGGTGGCGATTTGGGGAGGGGGCTCCGGGCCTGGGGGGCCGCGACTGCCTCGAACCGGCGGGTTCCGGGCTGGGATCCTTCGGAGGGATCGGGGCTTGGCCGCGTTGGGGTGGAGGGGAGCGGCGTTGCTTCGTTGTGAAGGGGGAGCCCCCATTTTGGGGAGGGTTTTTGGCCCCCTCCCCATTATTGGGGTTTTTTTTCCTGTTTTGGGTTTTTTATTTTTTGTCCCCTCCCCATTAGTGAGATTTTTGTCCTGTTTTGGGTGTTTTTTTTCTGTTCCCTCCCCATTATTGGGGTTTCCCCCGTTTTGTGTTTTTTTTCCTGCCCCACTCTCCATTATTGGGGTTTATCCCTATTTTGGGAACGTGTTCCTCACAGGTTTGGGGTTTTTCCCCTTCTCTTTCCCATTCTGGGGGTGTTTCTCTCTCATTATGGAGGATTCTGATCCCTGCCTGGAGCTGGGGATCCCCCCAGGATTTGGGATCCCCCAGAACTGAGGGCTCATCCAGAGTTTGGGATTCCCTGAAATTTGGAATTGCTCAGATATTTGGGAACCCCCAGAATTTGGAGTTACTCAGAATTTGGGATCCTTCAGAACTGAGGCTCCCCCAGAGTTTGGGATCCCCTGAGTGGCCAGCCTGTCCCATGCCAGGGGCTGATCCCATCCCAGTTGGGTTATCCCATGTTCTGACCCCATCCCAGTTGAGTTGATCCCATCCCAGAGGGTCGATTCCGGTGTTCTGACCCCATCCCAGCTGGGTTATCCCAGTGTTCTGACCCCATCCCAGTGTTCTGACCCCATCCCAGCTGGGTTATCCCAGTATTCTGACCCCATCCCAGTTGGGTTACCCCAGTGTGCTGACCCCATCCCAGTGACCCCATCCCAGCTGGGTTATCCCATGTTCTGACCCCATCCAATCCCAGTTGGGTTGATCCCATCCCACTTGGGTTATCCCAGTGTTCTGACCCCATCCCAGTAGGGTTATCCCATCCCAGTTGGGTTGTCCCACATTCTGACTTCATCCCAGTTGGGTTATCCCAGTGTTCTGACCCCATCCCAGTCAGGTTGACCCCATCCCATTTGGGTTATCCCAGCTGGGTTAATCCCATCCCAGTAGGGTGATCCCACATTCTGACCCCATCCCACCCCCTCTGTCCCCAGGACTGCAATTCCGTCGTGCCCAGCCTGTCCCAGTGTTCTGACCCCATCCCAGTTGTGTTATCCCAGTTGGGTTATCCCATCCCAGTTGGGTTATCCCACATTCTGACCCCGTCCCAGTTGGGTTATCCCATTTGGGTGACCCCATCCCACTTGGGTGACCCCATCCCAATAGGGTTATCCCACGTTCTGACCCCATCCCAGTTGGGTTATCTCAGTTGGGTTATCCCACGTTCTAGCCCCATCCCAGTTGGGTTATCCCAGTAGGGTTATCCCACGTTCTGACCCTATCCCAGTTGGGTTATCCCATCCCAGTTGGGTTATCCCATCCCAGTTGGGTTATCCCAGTTGTGTTACCCCACGTTCTGACCCGTGCCACGCCGTGTGTCCATCCCCAGGACCGCGGTGCCGTCGCACCCAGCCCGGCCATGGCCGCCCGCGGGGCCCAGCGGCCCAACGGGCACTCGCAGCCCAGTAAGATCTGCCAGTTCAAACTGGTGCTACTGGGAGAGTCGGCCGTGGGCAAATCCAGCCTGGTGCTGCGCTTCGTCAAGGGCCAGTTCCACGAGTACCAGGAGAGCACCATCGGCGGTGAGCCCCCAAAAGGGTCTGGGGCATCCTAAATGGGATCTGGGGTGGGATTTGGGGTGATCCCGGGTGGGATTTGGGGTGCAGGAAGGGATTTGTTGAGGCCCAGTTCCACGAGTACCAGGAGAGCACCATCGGCGGTGAGCCCCCTAAAGGGTCTGGGGGATCCTAAAAGGGTCTGGGGGATCCTAAAAGGGATTTGGGGTGGGATTTGGGGTGCAGGAAGGGATTTGTTGAGGCCCAGTTCCATGAGTACCAGGAGAGCACCATCGGCGGTGAGCCGGGACCCCAAAAGGGTCTGGGGGATCCTAAAAGGGATTTGGGGTGGGATTTGGGGTGATCCCGGGTGGGATTTGGGGTGCAGGAAGGGCTTTGTTGAGGCCCAGTTCCACGAGTACCAGGAGAGCACCATCGGCGGTGAGCCCCCTAAAGGGTCTGGGGGATCCTAAAAGGGTCTGGGGGATCCTAAAAGGGATTTGGGGTGGGATTTGGGGTGCAGGAAGGGCTTTGTTGAGGCCCAGTTCCATGAGTACCAGGAGAGCACCATCGGCGGTGAGCCAGGATCCCAAAAGGGTCTGGGGGATCCTAAAAGGGTCTGGGGGATCCTAAAAGGGATTTGGGGTGATTCCAGGTGGGATTTGGGGTGCAGGAAGGGCTTTGCCAAGGGCCAGTTCCACGAGTACCAGGAGAGCACCATCAGTGGTGAGCCGGGATCAGGGATCCCAAAAAGGATCTGGGGCATCCCAAAAAGGGTCTGGGGGATCCCAAAAGGGTCTGTGGGATCCCACAGGGATTTGGGGTGATCCCACAGGGGTCTGGGGCTGGCTTGGGTGGGATTTGGGGTGATTCCAGGTGGGATTTGGGGTGATTCCAGGTGGGATTTGGGGTGCAGGGAGGGCTTTTTGGACGGGTTTGGGACACCCTGAGGTGTCCCTGGAAAGGTTTTGTGCCACCCTGAGGTGTCCCTCGGTGGCTTTGGGGACACCCTGAGGTGTCGTTTGGCAGGCTGGGGGCACTCTGAGCTGTCTGTGGCCAGGTTGGTGACACTCTGGTGGCACTCTGGTGACACTGTGGTGTCCCTGTCCCTGTCCCCAGCGGCGTTCCTGACGCAGTCCGTGTGTCTGGCTGGGTTTGGGGTGCAGTGAGGGGTCCCTGGCTGGGTTGGTGACCCTGTGGTGGCACTCTGGTGTCCCTGTCCCTGTCCCCAGCGGCGTTCCTGACACAGTCCGTCTGTCTGGCTGGGCTTGGGGTGCAGTGAGGGGTCCCTGGCTGGGTCGGTGACACTCTGAGCTGTCCCTGGCTGGGTTGGTGACCCTGTGGTGGCACTCTGGTGACACTCTGGTGTCCCTGTCCCTGTCCCCAGCGGCGTTCCTGACACAGTCCGTGTGTCTGGCTGGGTTTGGGGTGCAGTGAGGGGTCCCTGGCTGGGTCGGTGACCCTGTGGTGACCCTGTGGTGACACTCTGGTGACCCTGTGGTGACCCTGTGGTGTCCCTGTCCCTGTCCCCAGCGGCGTTCCTGACGCAGTCCATGTGTCTGCCTGGGTTTGGGGTGCAATGAGGGGTCCCTGGCTGGGTTGGTGGCACTCTGGTGGCACTGTGGTGACACTCTGGTGACACTCTGGTGTCCCTGTCCCTGTCCCCAGCGGCGTTCCTGACACAGTCCATCTGTCTGGCTGGGTTTGGGGTGCAGTCAGGGGTCCCTGGCTGGGTTGGTGACACTCTGAGCTGTCCCTGGCTGGGTTGGTGACCCTGTGGTGGCACTCTGGTGACACTCTGGTGTCCCTGTCCCTGTCCCCAGCGGCGTTCCTGACGCAGTCCGTCTGTCTGGACGACACCACGGTGAAGTTTGAGATCTGGGACACGGCGGGGCAGGAGCGCTACCACAGCCTGGCCCCCATGTACTACCGGGGAGCCCAGGCTGCCATCGTGGTCTACGACATCACCAACCAGGTCTGGGGGGGATTTGGGGGGATTTGGGGGGGTCCTGAGGGGATTTGGGGGGGTCCTGAGGGGATTTGGGGGGTCCTGAGGGGATTTCAGGAGGTCCTGAGGGGATTTGGGGGGGATCTGGGTGGGTTTTGGGGGCTGGTCTCAGAGGGCACTACCAGGGGGCCCAGGCTGCCATTGTGGTCTACGACATCACCAACCAGGTCTGGGGGGGATTTCGGGGGGTCCTGAGGGGATTTCAGGGGGTCCTGAGGGGATTTCAGGGCATCCTGAGGGGATTTGGGGGGATCTGGGTGGGTTTTGGGGGGTGGTCTCAGGGGGCCCTACCAGGGGGCCCGGGCTGCCATCGTGGTCTACAACATCACCAACCAGGTCTGGGGGGGCCTGAGGGGATTTGGGGGGGTCCTGAGGGGATTTGGGGGGGTCCTGAGGGGATTTGGGGGGGATCTGGGTGGGTTTTAGGGGGTGGTCTCAGGGGGCCCTACCAGGGGGCCCAGGCTGCCATTGTGGTCTAAGACATCACCAACCAGGTCTGGGGGGGATTTGGGGGGGTCCTGAGGGGATTTGGGGGGGTCTGAGGGGATTTGGGGGGGTCCTGAGGGGATTTGGGGGGGTCCTGAGGGGATTTCAGGGGGTCCTGAGGGGATTTCAGGGCATCCTGAGGGGATTTGGGGGGGATCTGGGTGGGTTTTGGGGGGTGGTCTCAGGGGGCACTACCAGGGGGCCCAGGCTGCCATTGTGGTCTAAGACATCACCAACCAGGTCTGGGGGGGATTTGGGGGGGGTCCTGAGGGGATTTGGGGGAGTCCTGAGGGGATTTGGGGGGGTCCTGAGGGGATTTCAGGGGGTCCTGAGGGGATTTGGGGGCATTTTGGGGGGGATTTGAGGAGGTTTTAGGAGGTGGTCTCAGGGGGCCCTACCAGGGGGCCCAGGCTGCCATCGTGGTCTATGACATCACCAACCAGGTCTGGGCGGGATTTTGGGGGGGTTTTTGGGGGTCTCAGGGTTCTGAGGAAGCTTAGGGGATTTGAGGAGGGGTCCTAGGATATTTGAGGAGGGGTCTCAGTGTATTTGAGGAGGGGTCTCAGCTCCATTCTCCCCCCCTCAGGAGACCTTTGCCCGTGCCCGGGGCTGGGTGAAGGAGCTGCAGGGGGGTCTGGGGATCTCAGGGCATTTGAGGAGGGGTCTCAGGAGTTCCAGGTTATTTGAGGAGGGGTCTCAGGGGTCTCAGTGTATTTGGGGAGGGGTCTCAGTGTATTTGAGGAGGGGTCTCAGCTCCATTATCCCCCCCCTCAGGAGACCTTTGCCTGTGCCCGGGGCTGGGTGAAGGAGCTGCAGGGGGGTCTGGGGATCTCAGAGCTCTGAGGATTTTTGAGGAGGGGTCTCAGGGATCTCAGAGTATTTGAGGAGGGGTCTCAGTGTATTTGGGGAGGGGTCTCAGGGGTCTCAGTGTATTTGGGGAGGGGTCTCAGCTCCAATCCCCCCCCTCTCAGGAGACCTTTGCCCATGCCCGGGGCTGGGTGAAGGAGCTGCAGGGGGGTCTGGGGATCTCAGGGGTTTTGAGGAGGGGTCTCAGGAGTTCCAGGTTATTTGAGGAGGGGTCTCAGGAGTTCCAGGTTATTTGAGGAGGGGTCTCAGGGGTCTCAGTGTATTTGGGGAGGGGTCTCAGCTCCATTCTCCCCCCCTCTCAGGAGACCTTTGCCCGTGCCCGGGGCTGGGTGAAGGAGCTGCAGCGCCAGGCCAGCCCCAGCATCGTCATCGCCCTGGCCGGCAACAAGGCTGACCTGGCCAGCAAGAGGATGGTGGAGTACGAGGTATGGGGATTTTGGGATTTTTTGGGGATTTTTTGGGATTTTTAGGGGATTTTTTGGGGATTTTTTGGGATTTTTTGGGGATTTTTAGGGGATTTTTTGAGGGATTTTGAGATTTTTTGCGGGTTTTTTTTGAGGATTTTTTAGGGAGGTTTTGGAAATTTTTGGGGGATTTGGGGATTTTATTTTTAATTTTTTAGGGGGATTTTTGGGGGGAATTTTTTTGGGTTTTTGGGGAATTTTTTTTTTAATTTTGGGGGATTTCGGAATTTCTTTGGGGGATTTTTTGGGGATTTGGGGAATTTTTTGGGAATTTTCAGATTTTTTTTAATTTTGGGGGGATTTCGGAATTTCTTTGGGGGATTTTGGGGGATTTTTTTGGGGGAGATTTTGGGATTTTTTTTTAATTTTGGGGGGTTTTGGGAGGTTTTTGGGGGGATTTGGGGATTTTGGGGGGGAATTTTTTGGGGAATTTTTGGGGGATTTTTTTGGGAGATGTTGGGAGTTATTTGGGGATTTTTTGGGATTTTTTTTTTTTTAATTTTGGGGGGATTTGGGGAATTTTTGGTAATTTTTGGATGGAGTACAAGGTATGGGGGTTTTGGGGAATTTTAGGGAATTTTTGGGGGGATTTTGGAATTTTTTTGAGGGAATTTTGGGAATCTTAAAAAATTTTTGGGGGGACTTATTTGGGAATTTTGGGGGGATTTAGGGGGATGTTTTGGGGGTGGATTTTGGGAGTTTCTGGTGGAATTTTTTGGGAACGCGTGGAGCTTTTAGGGGAATTTTTGTGTTTATTCTTGGGAGTTTCTGGAGTTTTTTTGGGGGAATTCCTGGGATTGTTTTTCAGGAATTTCTGGGAGTGTTTTGGGGATTTTTGGGGGGAAATTTTGGGGTTTTTTGATGAATTTTTCCCTGCAGGAAGCCCAGGCCTACGCTGATGACAACAGCCTGCTCTTCATGGAGACCTCGGCCAAGACAGCCATGAATGTCAACGACCTCTTCCTGGCCATTGGTGAGCCTGGGGGTCCTGAGGGGTTTTGGGGGGGTCCTGAGGGGTTTTGGGGGGGGTCCTGAAGGGTTTGGGGGGGGTCCTGAGGGGGTTTGGGGGGGTCCTGAGGGGTTTGGGGGATCCCAGCGGGGTCCCAGAGGGGTCCTGGGGGGTTTTGGGGCTGTTTCAGAGGAGTTTTGAGGGGATTTTAGGGGTATCTCAGAGGAGTTTTGGGGATGCCTCAGGGGGTCCTGAGGGGTTTTGGGGGGTTCTGAGGGGTCCTGGGGGGCTCTGAGGGGTTTTGGGGGGGGTCCTGAGGGGTTTGGGGGATCCCAGGGGGGTCCCAGAGGGGTCCTGAGGGGTTTTGGGGCTGTTTCAGAGGAGTTTTGAGGGGGTTTTTGGGGGGTTCTGAGGGGTTTTGGGGTATCTCAGAGGGGTTTTGGGGGGGTCTCAGAGAAGTTTGGGGGGCTCTGAGGGGTCCTGAGGGGTTTTGGGGCTGTTTCAGAGGAGTTTTGAGGGGGTTCTGAGGGGTCCTGAAGGGTTTTGGGGGTATCTCACAGGGGTTTTGGGGATGCCTCAGGGGGGTCCTGAGGGATTTTGGGGCTGTTTCAAAGGAGTTTTGAGGGGGTTTTGGGGGGTTCTGAGGGGTTTTGGGGGGGTCTAAGAGGAGTCTCAGGGGTCCTGAGGGGTTTTGGGGGGTCCTGAGGGGTTTTGGGGCTGTTTCAGAGGAGTTTTGAGGGGGTTTTGGGGGCATCTCAGAGGAGTTTTGGGGATGCCTCAGGGGGGTCCTGAGGGGTTTTGGGGGGTTCTGAGGGGTTTGGGGGTATCTCAGAGGAGTCTAGGGGGGCTTTTAGGGGTTCTGAGGGGTTTTGGGGTTCTGAGGGTGCCCCATTTCCAACCCAAATCATCCAGAATCATCCTAAACCATCCCAAATGATCCTAAACAATCCCAAATCACACCAAACCACCCCAAATCACACCAAACCATCCCAAATCACCTTAAATAACCCCAAATGATCCCTAAACCATCCTAAACCGTTCTGAATAATCCTAAACCATCCTAAATAACCCCAAACCATCCCAAATCACCCCAAACCATCCCCAATGATCCCAAACCACCCCAAACCAACCTAAACCATCCCCAATGATCCCAAACCAACCTAAACCATCCCAAATGATCCTAAACAATCCCAAATAACCCGAAACCATCCCAAATAACCCGAAACCATCCCAAACCACCCCAAACCAACCTAAACCATCCCGAATGATCCCAAACCACCCCAAATCACCCCAACTAACCCCAAACCCCCCCAAACCCCCCCAAGTGACCCCGAGTTGCCCGTTCCAGCCAAGAAGCTGCCAAAGACGGAGCCGCAGAGCACGAGCGGGGCCGGGGGCCGGGGCCGGGGCGTGGACCTGAGCGAGCAGAGCCCGCAGGGCCGCGGGCAGTGCTGCAGCAACTGAGGGATCCACTGGATCCACTGGGATCTACTGGGGTCCAGAGATGGGATTGAACCCAGATCCAGCCCAAATCCAGCCAGGACTGAACCCAGATCCAGCTCACAGGGCCATGGGCAGTGCTGCAGCAACTGAGGGACCCAGTGGGATCTGCTGGGATCTACTGGGATCTACTGGGGTCCAGAGATGGGATCCAACCAGGACTGAACCCAGATCCAGCCCAAATCCAACCAGGACTGAGCCCAGATCCAGCTCAAATCCAGCCAGGACTGAACCCAGATCCAGCTCACAGGGCCGTGGGCAGTGCTGCAGCAACTGAGGGATCCACTGGGATCTGCTGGGATCTACTGGGGTCCAGAGATGGGATTGAACCCAGATCCAGCCCAAATCCAGCCAGGACTGAACCCAGATCCAGCCCACAGGGCCGTGGGCAGTGCTGCAGCAACTGAGGGATCCGCGGGATCCACTGGGATCCGCTGGGATCTGCTGGGGTCCAGAGATGGGATCCAGCCCAAATCCAGCCAGGACTGAACCCAGATCCAGCGCCCATATCAGGGCAGTGCTGCAGCAACTGAGGGATCCACTGGGATCAGAGCTGGGATTGAACCCAGATCCAGCCCAAATCCAGCCGGGATCACAGCCAGGACCCACCAGGACTGAACCCAGATCCAGCCCAAATCCAGCTGGGATCACAGCCAGGACCCACCAGGACTGAACCCAGATCCAGCCCAAATCCAGCTGGGATCACAGCCAGGATCCAGCCCAGGTCCAGCCCAAATCCAGCTGGGATCACAGCCAGGACTCACCAGGACTGAACCCAGATCCAGCCCAAATCCAGCTGGGATCACAGCCAGGATCCAGCCCAGATCCAGCCCAGGTCCAGCCCAAATCCAGCCGGGATCACAGCCAGGACCCACCAGGACTGAACCCAGATCCAGCTCGCAGCTGCAGCAACTGAGGGATCCATGGGACCTGATGGGATCCAGCCCAAATCCAGCTGGGATCAGAGCTGGGATTGAACCCAGATCCATCTGGGATTACAGCCAGGATCACAGCCAGGATCCAGCCCAGATCCAGCCAGGATCACAGCCAGGATCACAGCCAGGATCACAGCCAGGATCCAGCCCAGGTCCAGCCCAGATCCAGCCCAGGATCACAGCCAGGATCCAGCCCAGGTCCAGCCCAGATCCAGCCCAGGTCCAGCCCAGGTCCAGCCCAGATCCAACCCAGATCCAGCCCTGATCCAGCCGGGATTACAGCCAGGATCCAGCCCAGGTCCAGCCCAGGATCCAGCCCAGGTCCAGCCCAGGATCACAGCCAGGATCACAGCCAGGATCCAGCCCAGGTCCAGCCCAGATCCAGCCCAGGATCACAGCCAGGATCCAGCCCAGATCCAGCCCAGGATCCAGCCCAGGATCCAGCCCAGGATCCAGCCCAGATCCAGCCCAGATCCAGCCCAGATCCAGCCCAGGATCACAGCCAGGATCCAGCCCAGGATCACAGCCAGGATCACAGCCAGGATCCAGCCCAGATCCAGCCCAGATCCAGCCCAGATCCAGCCCAGATCCAGCCCAGATCCAGCCCAGGATCACAGCCAGGATCCAGCCCAGGTCCAGCCCAGGTCCAGCCCAGATCCAGCCCAGGATCCAGCCCAGGATCCAGCCCAGGATCCAGCCCAGATCCAGCCCAGATCCAGCCCAGATCCAGCCCAGGATCACAGCCAGGATCCAGCCCAGGATCCAGCCCAGGTCCAGCCCAGATCCAGCCCAGGATCCAGCCCAGATCCATCCCAGGTCCAGCCCAGATCCAGCCAGATCCAGCCCAGATCCAGCCCAGATCCAGCCCAGATCCAGCCCAGGTCCAGCCCAGATCCAGCCCAGATCCAGCCCAGATCCGGCCCAGATCCAGCCCAGATCCAGCCGGGATCACAGCCAGGATCCAGCCCAGATCCAGCCCAGATCCAGCCCAGGATCCAGCCCAGATCCAGCCCAGGTCCAGCCCAGGATCCAGCCCAGGATCCAGCCCAGATCCAGCCGGGATCACAGCCAGGATCCAGCCAGGATCCAGCCCAGGTCCAGCCCAGATCCAGCCCAGATCCAGCCCAGGTCCAGCCAGGATCCACCAGGACTGAACCCAGATCCAGCCTGCAGGGCCAGAGCCGGTGCTGGAGCAGCTGAGGGATCCACAGGATCCCAGCCCAGATCCCAGCCCAGATCCCAGCCCAGATCCCAGCCCAGGTCCCAGCTCCATCTCCACCCTGGGGCTCTCCCCGAGCTCTCCCAGCACTTTTGAAGCTTCCAAGGCTCCGCCTCGGCACCAGATCCCTCCTGGATCCTCCAGATCCCTCCTGGATCCTCCAGATCCATCCTGGATCCACCAGAACCTTCGTGGCTCCACCAGATCCTGCCCAGCTCCACCAGAACCTTCCTGGATCCTCCAGATCCTTCCTGGCCCCACCAGGCCCCACTTGGATCTACCAGATCCCATCTGGACCTTCCATATTTCACACGGATTCTTCAGATCCCACCTGGATCCCCCAGATCCCTCCTGGATCCTCCAGACTCCACCAGGACCCTCCAGACTCCTCCTGGCTGCACCAGATCCCTTTTGGATTCACCAGATCCCACCTGGACCCTCCAGCCCCCACCTGGCTCCTCCCAGCCCCTCCTGGATCCCTCAGATCCCGGGGCCAGATCCCGGGGCCAGATCCCCGATCCCTCCCTGGCAGCACCAGGGCCGGGACTGGAGCCCCGGGGACCCCGCGGGGCCTCGGACGCTTGGACACCCCCTGGATCCCCCCAGATCCCCCTGGATCCCCCCAGATCCCCCCGGATCCCCCTGAATCCCAGGATCTGGGGGTCCTCGGGGGCCCAGCAGGGATCTCTGTGGGGTTTTGGGGGTTTTGGTTGCTCCCCCTGGATCCCCCCCTGGATTTGGGGGTCCTGGATCCCCCTGGGGCCCAGCAGGGATCTCTGGGGGGTTTTGGTTTTGTTCTTTGTGGATCCCTCCTGGATCCTGGGATCTGGGGGTCCCAGAGCCCCCCTGTGGATCCCTCCTGGATGCCCCCAGATCCCCCTGGATCCCTCTGGGTCCCTCTGGGTCCCTCCTTGACCCTGGGATCTGGAGGTTCTGGGGCCCAGCAGGGATTTCTGTGGGGTTTTGGTTTTGTTCCTTGTGGATCCCCCCCAGATCCCCCCTGGATCCCCCCAGATCCCCCTGGATCCCCCCAGATCCCCCCAGATCCCCCTGGATCCCCCTGGATCCCCCTGGATCCCCGGATTTGGGGGTCCCAGGTCCCACCCCAGGGATCTCTGTGGGGTTTTTGTGGCTCCCCGTGGGACAGGAGCTGCGGTGGCACCGGGTCCTCCCCTGGTGGCCTCACACAGGAGACACTGAGGGGACACTGAGGGGACGCCGAGGGGACATTGAGGGACATTGAGGGGACACAGGGGGACATTGAGGGGACACTGAGGGGACATTGAGGCGGCACTGAGGGGACACTGAGGGGACACCGAGGGGACACCGAGGGGACACTGAGGGGACACTGAGGGACACTGAGGGGACATTGAGGGGACACTGAGGCGACACTGAGGGGACACCAAGGGAACATTGAGGGGACACTGAGGGGACACTGAGGGGACATTGAGGCGGCACTGAGGGGACACTGAGGGGACGCTGCGGTGGCTTTGTGGAGGTGCCACCTGAGTGACCTCGGCTGTGGTCACCTCACGGGGATGTCCCCATGGCCATCCTGGCTGTGGTCACCCCCAGGTGACATCCCCAGGTGGTTCCAATGGTGGCCTCGGTGTCCCCTCAGTGATCCCAGCAGTGACTGTGGTGTCCCCTCAGTGGTGGCCTCAGTGTCCCCCAGGTGTCCCAGTGGTGGCCTCAGTGTCCCCTCAATGGTCCCAGTGGTGGCCTTGATGTCCCCTCAGTGATCCCAGTGGTGGCCTCAGTGTCCCCCAGGTGACATCCCCCAGGTGATCCCAGTGGTGGCCTTGATGTCCCCTCAGTGATCCCAGTGGTGGCCCCAATGTCCCCTCAATGATCCCGGTGCTGTCCCCTCAGTGTCCCCTCAATGGTCCCAGTGGTGGCCTCGATGTCCCCTCGATGTCCCCAGGTGATCCCACTGGTGGCCTCAGTGTCCCCTCAATGGTCCCAATGGTGGCCTCAGTGTCCCCTCAATGATCCCAGTGGCGGCCTCGATGTCCCCAGTGGTGGCCTCAGTGTCCCCTCAATGATCCCAATGGTGGCCCCGATGTCCCCTCGATGATCCCAGTGGTGGCCTCCGTGTCCCCTCGATGTCCTCGGTGGTGGCCTTGATGTCCCCTCAATGATCCCGGTGCTGTCCCCTCAGTGTCCCCTCAATGATCCCAGTGGTGGCCTCAGTGTCCCCTCAATGATCCTGGTGGTGGCCTCAGTGTCCCCTCAATGTCCTCGGTGGTGGCCTTGATGTCCCCTCAATGGTCCCAATGGTGGCCTCAGTGTCCCCTCGATGTCCTCGGTGGTGGCCCCGCTGTCCCCAGGTGATCCCAGCCACAGCCACCCCTCAGGTGTCCCCCAGTCCCCCCGCAGTGTCCCCACTTTGTCCCCGTCCCTCTTTGCACTTTATGGTCCAACGTCCCCTGGCTCTGTCCCCGTGTCCCCAGGGTGACACTGAGGGGACAGCAGGGCCACCCCTGCCCTTTGTCCCTTCTGGGCCCTCGGTGTCCCCACCCTGTCCAGGGGACACCTGGGGTGCTGCCACCTGACTGGGGACACCCCAAAATTTGGGACACCCCAAAGTGGTGGCACCTCAAAATTTGGGGACACCCCGAGCTGGGGACACCCAGAATTGTCCCCTCAGGCACGGGGGGTGGTGGCTTTGGGGTGGAGGGACCTGGTCCCGTATGAAGCCCCTGGGGACACCTTGGGGACATTCTTGGGGCCACCTTGGGGACACTCCTGGGGACATTCCCGGTGCTCCAGAGCCTCTGGAATCGGTGACATTGGTGTCCCCAGGGTGGTGACAGAGCCTGCTGGGTCCTTGCCCTGTCCCCACCCTTGGGGACACCTTGGGGACACTCCCAGGGCCATTCCCAGGGACACTCCCAGGGACACCTCAGGGACACCTTGGGGACACTCCCAGAGACGTCTTGGGGACACCTCGAGGACACCTTGGGGACACTCCCAGGGCCATTCCCAGGGACACCTTGGGGACACTCCCAGAGACGTCTTGGGGACACCTCGAGGACACCTTGGGGACACTCCCAGGGCCATTCCCAGGGACACCTTGGGGACACTCCCAGAGACATCTTGGGGACACCTCAGGGACACCTTGGGGACACTCCCAGAGACGTCTTGGTGCCACTCTCAGAGACATCTTGGGGACACTCCCAGGTTCATCTTGGGGACACTCCCAAGGCCACCTCAGGGCCGTTCCTGGGGACACTTCAGGGACATTCCCAGGGCTGCCTCGGGGCCACCTTGGGGACATTCCCGGGGCCACCTTGGGGCCATTTTGGGGACATTCCCAGGGCCACCTTGGGGCCATTTTGGGGACATTCCCGGGGCCACCTCAGGGCCACCTTGGGGACATTCCCAGGGCCACCTTGGGGACACTCCCGGGGCCACCTTGGGGCCATTTTGGGGACATTCCCAGGGCCACCTCAGGGCCACCTTGGGCACACTCCCGGGGCCACCTCGGGGCCACTTTAGGGACATTCTCGGCGCCATTTTGGGGACACTCCCGGGGCCACCTTGGGGACATTCCCGGGGCCACTTTGGGGACATTTTCGGGGCCACCTTGGGGACATTCCCGGTGCTCCAGAGCCTCTGGACTTGGTGACATCGCTGTCCCCAAAGTGGTGGCCCAAACGGGGACACCGCAGCTCCTGCCACCCTTTTATTTCCTTTTTTTTTTTCCCTTTTTTTTTTTCTTTCTTTTTCCTCCTTTCCCCCTCGATTTTTCTTTTTCTTTTCGGTTCATTTCCGTTGTTTTTTTTTTTTTCCTTGCTTTGGGAAGCTCCTCCCTCGCCGTGAAATAACAATCGTGGTAACCACACCCTCGGGTCGCTGATTTACCCATGTATTTAATGTAAAGTAAAAAACAAAAACCAACGAGGACAAAAAAAAAAAAAAAAAAAAAACAAGGAAAAAAAATCCCAAAAAAGCGAAAATTCCCAACTTTTTGTGTGCTCAGGGAGGGGACAAGCGACAACACCGGGGCCACCCGGTGCCAGCAGCTGCTGCCAGATCGCGGCCCTGCCCTGATAACGCTTATCAGAGTTCGCAGCTGCCTGGCAGCTCCGGTTTTTTCCGTTTTTTCCCGTTTTTTCCCCCAAATTCCCAGCGGGAATTTCGGGCGGCGCTGCCCCTTTAAATCCGCGGGGCCGCTTTAAGACCCCCGGGGGCTTCGTGTGGTGTTGCCGCTTTAAACCGGCGCTGGTGGGGCCCACCCTGAGCGAGGCCACGCCCACTAGGCCCCCGTTAAAGTAAACAGAGGGGCGTGGCCAGGTGGGTCGCGCTCTCCTCGAGGCCACGCCCATCGCCCCCCTCTTAAAGCGGCCGCGCCCAGGGACATCGCGGGACCGGAACCGTTACGCAGGTGCGCGGCGGGGACTACCGGGAGCGGGAACAACCGGGAGAGGGAACAACCGGGATGGGAACGGGGCGGGAAAACCGGGAGCGGGGTGGGGCTGAGGGAGGGAAAAGCGGGACCCGGCTGGGGTTGGGGGAAAACAACGGGACCGGGGGGTTTGGGGACAACCGGGACTGGCCTGGGCCTACGGCGGGGACAACCGGGACCGGGATGGGATTGGGGAGGGGACAACGGGGAGCGGGATGGGGCCGGGGAAAGGAAGAAGCGGGACCGGGATGGAGCTGGGGGAGGGGACAACCGGGACCGACCGGGCTGGAGACAACCGGGAACCGGGATGAGGCTGGGGAAGGGACAACCGGGACCGGGATGGGATTGGGGAGGGGACAACGGGGACCGGGATGGGGCTGGGGAAAGGAACAACCGGGACCGGGATGGAGCTGAGGAGGGGATAACCGGGATCGGGATGGCGTCGGTGAAAGGAAGAACCGGGACCGGGATGGGATTGGGGAGGGGACAACCGGGACCGACCGGGCTGGGGACAACCGGGACCGGGATGGGGCTGGGAAAAACCGGGGACAACCGGGCTGGAGACAACGGGAACCGGGATGGCGCTGGGAGCAGGAAGAACCGGGACGAGGATGGGGTTGGGGAGGGGACAACCGGGACCGGGATGGAGCTGGGAAAAGCCGGGAACAACCGGGACCGACCGAGCTGGGACTGGGTGGGGACACAACGGGCACCGGGCTGGGAACGGCGCGGGGGCAGAACCGGGAGCGCGCTGGGGTCACGGAAGGGCAGGACCGGAGCGGAAACCGAGCGCGGTTGTGTCGCAGCAGAGCTCCCTGATTGCCGCTTTCCCCGGCAGCGTCACCGGAGCCGTTTCCCGGTACCCGGTGCCCGCCCCAGCCGCGCTCTCCCCTCCCGCTGCCGCCGCCGCGATGCTGCTGCTCCGGGCCATGGCCGGCCGCAGGTAGGAACGGGGGGCTCCCGGTGTCCCCCGGTGTCCCCCCGGTGTCCCGGGGCCGCTGTGACCCCCGCTGTCCCCGCAGGCTCCCGCCGCTGATGCAGCTGCCCCGCGGCTGCTCCCGGTTGGCCGCCGGTAGCGCGGCCCCGGGGGGACACCGGGAAGCGACATCCGGGGGGGGACACCGGGAAGCGACATCCGGGGGGGGACACCGAGGAGCGGCCCCGGGGGGACACCGAGGAGCGGCCCCGGTGCTGGCGGCGCTGCTCGGGCTCGGGGTCGTCCTGGCCTACGGAGAGCGGCGGCGGAGGGTGAGCGGCACCGGGGGTGGTGGCACCGGGAGGGGCGGTGACACCTCGGGCTCCGTCCCCGTGCTGGGGACACCGGGGTGGGGTTGGATCCCGGCGGGAGGCGGCACCGGAGGGGCGGATCCCGGCGAGAGGTGACACCGGGACAGCGGGAAACGGGGAAGGGGCGGCACCGGGGGTGGATCCCGGGGAAAGGGGGTGGTGGCACCGGGAACCCAGAACGGGGGTGGTGGCACCGGGGGAAGGATCCCGGGGCAGAGTGACACCGGGACAGGGGCATCCTGGAGCGGGGGTGACACCGGGACGGGGGGATCCTGGAGCAGGAGGTGACATCGGGACAGGGGGGACACCGGGACAGGGAGATCCCGGGGCTGGGTGACACCGGGATCCCGGGGCAAGGTGACACCGGGACAGGGGGATCATGGAGCAGGAGGTGACATCGGGACAGGGGGGACACCGGGACGGGGATCCCGGGGCAGGAGGTGACACCGGGACAGGGGGATCCTGGAGCAGGAGGTGACATCGGGACAGGGGGGACACCGGGACGGGGATCCCGGGGCAGGAGGTGACACCGGGACAGGGGGATCCTGAAGCGGGGGTGACACCGGGACAGGGGGATGGATCCTGGAGCGGGGGTGACATCGGGACAGGGGGATCCGGGGCTGGGTGACACCGGGACAGCGGGAATCCAGAACGGGGGTGACACCGGGACAGGGGGATCCCGGGGCAGGAGGTGATATCGGGACAGGGGGGACATCGGGACAGGGAGATCCGGGGCAGGAGGTGACACCGGTATCCTGGGGCAAGGTGACACCAGGACGGGGGGATCATGGAGCAGGAGGTGACACCGAGACAGGGGGGACACCGGGGCTGGGTGACACCGGGATCCCGGGAACGGGGGTGACACCGGGACAGGGAGATCCGGGGCAGGGTCACACCGGGACAGCGGGAACCCAGAACGGGGGTGACACCGGGACAGGGGGATCCTGAAGCGGGGGTGACACCGGGACAGGGGGATCCCGGAGAGGCGGTGACACCGGGACAGGGGGATCCTGAAGCGAGGGTGACACCGGGATCCCGGGAACGGGGTTGACACCGGGACCGGGGGATCCTGAAGCGGGGGTGACACCGAGACAGGGGGGATCCCGGGGCTGGGTGACACCGGGATCCCGGGCAGGGTGACACCGAGACAGGGAGATCCGGAGAGGGGGTGACACCGGGACAGGGAGATCCGGGGCAGGGTCACACCGGGACAGCGGGAACCCAGAACGGGGGTGACACCGGGACGGGGGGATCCTGGAGCGGGGGTGACACCGGGACGGGGGGATCCTGAAGCGGGGCGGACACCGGGATCCCGGCGGTCACGGCGGATCCCGCTGAGCCTCCCGGTGCCCGCAGACCGCCCAGGCCGCCCGGGCCAGCCCCGCGCCGCAGTTCCCCCGGTACACGCGGGCGGAGGTGGCGCAGCACCGCACCCCGAAGGAGCGCGTGTGGGTCACCTACGGCACCGACGTGTTCGACGTTACCGAATTCGTGGAGATGCACCCGGGGGGACCGGACAAGATCCTGCTGGCGGCCGGGGGAGCCCTGGAGCCCTTCTGGGCTCTCTACGCCGTTCACAGCCAGCCCCACGTCCTGGAGCTGCTCCGCGAATACAAAGTGGGCGAGCTGAGCCCCGAGGACGCGGCGCCGCCACCGGGGGACACCGCGGACCCGTTCGCCGGGGACCCCCCGCGCCACCCGGCGCTGCGGGTGAACAGCCTGAAGCCTTTTAACGCCGAGCCGCCGCCGGAGCTGCTCACGCAGAGCTTCCTGACGCCCAACGAGCTTTTCTTCACCCGCAACCACCTCCCGGTGCCCGCCGTGGAGCCGGGCTCCTACCGGCTGCGCGTGGAGGGGCCCGGTGGCCGCGCGTTGTCGCTGTCGCTGTCGGAGCTGCGGCAGCGCTTCCCGAAGCACGAGGTGACGGCCACGCTGCAGTGCGCCGGGAACCGGAGATCCGAGATGAGCCGCGTCCGGCCGGTCAAGGGGCTGGCGTGGGACATCGGTGCCATCAGCACGGCGCGCTGGGGAGGAGCCCGGCTCCGGGACGTGCTGCTGGCCGCCGGTGTCCGCGACAGCACCGGCGACGGCGAGTGGCACGTGTGCTTCGAAGGGCTGGACGCGGACGCTTCGGGGACGCCGTACGGAGCGTCCATCCCGTTAAAACGGGCGCTGAGCGCCGAGGCCGAGGTGCTGCTGGCGTACGAGATGAACGGGCGGGAGCTGCCGCGGGATCACGGCTTCCCGGTGCGCGTGGTGGTGCCCGGCGTGGTCGGGGCGCGCAGCGTGAAGTGGCTGCGGAGCGTGGCGGTGTCGCCCTCCGAGAGCCCGAGCCACTGGCAGCAGAACGACTACAAAGGGTTCTGTCCGTCCGTGGATTGGGATTCCGTGGATTTCGGGGCCGCCCCCGCCATCCAGGAGCTGCCGGTGCAGTCGGCGATCACCGAGCCCCGGCCCGGCGCCGCCGTGCCCGCCGGGGAGCTGACGGTGAAGGGATACGCGTGGAGCGGAGGAGGAAGGGAGGTGGTCAGGGTGAGCGGGGCACGGAGGCGGGGACGGGAAATGGGGTGGGGGGAAAGGGGAACGGGGTGGGGGAAATGGGGTGGGGGGAAAGGATATGGGGTGGGGGAATGGGGATGGGATGGGGGAAATGGGGTGGGGGGAGAGGATATGGGGTGGGGTAAATGGGGTGGGGGAATGGGGATGGGATGGGGGAAATGGGGTGGGGGGAAAGGGGAACGGGGATGGGGGAAAGGGGATGGGATGGGGGAAATGGGGTGGGGGGAAATGTGTATGAGGGGAAAAGGGGTGGGTGGAAAGGGGATGGGATGGGGGGAAATGGGGGTAGGGGGAAATGGGGATGGGGGAATGGGGATAGGGTGGGGGAAATGGGGTGGGGGGAAAGGGAATGGGATGGGGGAAAAGGGGAACAGGGATGGGAGGAAATGGAATGGGGGGCAAAGGGGATGGGATGGGGTGGGATGGGATGGGATGGGATGGGGAAAAATGGGGTGGGGGAATGGGGATGGGGTGGGAGGGAAATGAGGTAGGGGGAAATGGGTATGAGGGGGAAATGGGGTGGGGGGAAAGGGGATGGGGTGGGAAAAATGGGGATGGGGTGCGGGAATAGGGGTGGGGAACGGGGAATGGGGTGAGGTGGGAAAAATGGGGATGGGGTGGGAAAAATGGGGATGGGGTGGGAAAAATGGAGATGGGGTGGGAAAAATGGGGATAGGGTGGGAAAAATGGGGATGGGGAAAAGGGGATGGGAGAATGGGATAGGGGGAAAGGAGATGGGGGGAAAATGGAATTGGGGAATGAGGTGGGGGGAATGGGAGTGAGGGGAAAGGGGATGGGGGAAATGGGGATGGGGAATGGGGTAGGAACGGGACAGGGATGGGAAAAATGGGGAAAGGGAGCCGTGTCCCTGGACAGCGCCCAGACACAGCTCTATGCTAATTAATGAACGCTCATTAACACTAATTAGCCGTCTCCACAGTAACGATCTCCATCCTGACAGGTGGACGTGTCCCTGGACGGGGGCCGGACGTGGCGCGAGGCCGAGCTGGGCCCGCGGCCGGAGCGGGGCCGGGGCTGGGCCTGGGCGCTGTGGGAGCTGCGGGCGCCGGTGCCCGCGGGGGCCAGGCTGGAGCTCGTCTGCAAGGCCGTGGACCGGAGCTACAACGTCCAACCCGACACCGTGGGGCCCATCTGGAACCTGCGCGGGGTCCTCAGCAACGCCTGGCACCGCGTCCCCGTCACCGTCACCAAGTGAGGGACAGGGCCTGGGGACATTGGGGTATTGGGGCTTTGGGGATGTCAGGGACACAGCAGGGACATCAGAGGGACAATGTCCAACTGGACACCGTGGGGCCCATCTGGAACCTGCGCGGGGTCATCAGCAACGCCTGGCACCGCGTCCCCGTCACCGTCACCAAGTGAGGGACAGGGCCTGGGGACATTGGGGTGCTGAGGACATTGGGGTGCTGGGGACATTGGGGATGTCAGGGACACAGCAGGGACATTGGGGACATCAGAGGTACAACGTCCAGCCTGACACTGTGGGGCCCATCTGGAACCCGCACGGGGTCCTCAGCAACGCCTGGCACCTGTCACTGTCACCGTCACCAAGTGAGGGACATCAGCAGGGCCTGGGGACATTGGGGACATCAGGGACATTGGGGACATCAGGGACATCAGAGGTACGACCGGACACCGTGGGGCCCATCTGGAACCTGCGCGGGGTCCTCAGCAACACCTGGGACCGTGTCCCTGTCACTGTCACCCACTGAGGGACACCAGCAGGGCCTTGGGGACATTGGGATGTTGGGACTTTGGGGACATCAGGGACACAGCAGGGACACCAGGGACATCAGAGGTACGACGTCCAGCCTGACACCGTGGGGACATCTGGAACCTGCGCGGGGTCCTCAGCAAGGCCTGGCACCAGGTCCCTGTCACTGTCACCCACTGAGGGACAGTGGGGACATCGAGGACATCAGGACATCGTGGACACAGCAGGGTCCTGAGCAAGGCCTGGCACTGGGTCAGTGTCACTGTCACCCACTGAGGGACATCCTTGGGGACATCAAGGGTCCCTGGAGATCAATGGGGTCTGTGGATCCTGAAGGGTTCCATGGCCCCAGAGAGTCCTGCAGACCCCAAAGTGTCTTAGGAACCCCAAAATGTCCTACAGACCCCAAATCATCCTACAGACCCCAAAGTGTCCTACAGACCCCAAAGTGTCTTAGGGACCCCAATGGGTCCTACAGAACCCAGAGTCCTACAGACCCCAAAATGTCCTACAGACCCCAGAGAATCCTATGGACCCCAATGGGTCCTACAGAACCCAAAGCATCCTACAGACCCCAAAATGTCCTGCAGACCCCAAATCATCCTACAGACCCCAATGGGTTCTGCAGGCCCCAGCTTCTATTGACCCCAGAAGGTTCCGCAGACCCCAAAAGGACTTTATGGCCCCTCAAAGGATTTTATGGCCCCTCAAAGGATTTTATGGACCCCAAAAGATTTTATGGACCCCAAAAGATTTTATGGACACCCCCAAAGATTTTATGGACTCCAAAGGACTTTATGGACCCCAAAAGGTTCTGGTGACCCCAAAGATTTCTCCGGCCCCGAAGGATTCTGCAGGTTCCTGCAGCCCCACAGCTCGAAGGTCAGCGGGGTTTTATGGCCCTGGGGTTTTATGGCCCTGGGGTTTTATGGCCCCCACGCTTTTATGGCCTCAGGGTTTTATGGCCCCAGGGTTTTATGGCCCTGGTTTTACACCCTGATGTGTGAAAGTGCCTCCTGCCATAAAGATTTGGGAACTTTTATGGGTTCAGTGCCTTCCTGGGGCAGCCAGGGTGGGGTGGGAGCGGTCCTGGGACCCCCTGATCCTATAGGGACACATGGGACCCCTGAACCTATAGGACTCTGTGACCCCATGGGACCCCCTGATCCTATAGGGACCCCTGGGACCCCCCTGACCCTATAGGACACCCTGACCCCATAGGCCCCTGTGACCCTGTATAAGCCCCTGACCCTAAATAACCCCCTGACCCCATGGGACCCCATGGCATGATGGAACCCCCAGATCCTATTGGGATCCAATGACCCCATAAGACCCCCTGACCCTAAATAATCCCCTGGCCCCAAATAACCTCCTGGCCCTAAATAACCCCCTGACCCTACAGGGCCCTGTGACCCTGTATAGGCCCTGATCCTAAATAACCCCCTGACCCTAAATGACCTCTTGACTCTATGGGACCCCTTGATCCCCGTTATTGATCCCATTATCGATCCCCGTTATCAATCCCAGATATCCATGCCCATTATAAATCCCAGATGTCAACCCCGTTCCCACTCCCCGATATCAATCCCCGTTATCAATCCCCATTATAAATCCCCGATATCAATCCCGTTATCAATCCCCATTATCCATCCCCGTTATCAATCCCCATTATAAATCCCTGTTCTCACTCCCCATTATCAATCCCCGATATCAATTCCGTTCTCAATCTCCGTTCTCAATCTCCGTTCTCACTCCCGATATCAATTCCGTTCTCAATTCCGTTATCAATCCCCGTTATCCCATCGACTCGCTCGGCGCTCCCCGCTCGATTCTCTCCGCGCTCCTTCCCCCCCCCGGCCCCCCCCCAATGCCCCATCGACTCTCTCGGCGCTCTGGCCTTGCCCTGCCGGCCGCTCGATGTTCTCGGCGCGCGGCGCGGGGCCGGAAGTGGCGGGGGCGGGGGGGGGGGCCCGGGGCCTCCTCAGGAGCCGCCGCCGCCGCCGCGCCCGGACCCCCCCGGACCCCCCCGCACCGGCACCGGCACCGCCGCGCCGCCCCCCCCCAGCCCCGGGGGGGCCTCCCGAGCCCGCCGCGGCCCTGCCGGTGAGAGCGAGCGCCGCGCGGGCCGGGCCGGAGGGAGCGGGGCGGGGGGGGGGCGCGGCCTCACGGGGGTGTCCGAGCACCGGGAGGGGTGGGGGGGGATTCGGTGATCCCCCCGGGACCGGCTGGGGGGGTCCGGGTGAAGGAGGAGCGGGGGGAGCTCTTCTGAGGGGGGGGGCGCGGCCCCTGACACCCTCAGGGGGTTTTGGCGGGCTTGGAATTTGGGGGAGGGGTCCCTGAGGGTGTCAGGGCTGCATTTGAGGGGGGGTCTCCTCTTTCTGAGGGGGGGTCGTGTCCTTCCAGGTGTGTTTTTTTGGGGGGCTGTGCTGAGGGGGGGGGCGCGCTCCCCTGACACCCTCAGGGGGATTTGGCGGGCTCGGAATTTGGGGAGGGGTCCCTGAGGGTGTCAGGGCTGGATTTGAGGGGGGGTCGCGTCCTCCCGGGGGTGTCAGCGCTGGATTTTTGGCGGGGGTTCCGTATCCCCTCGGGGGGGGCTGTTCTGAGGGGGGGTCGCGTTCCCCTGGCACCCTCAGGGGGTTTTGGCGGGCTCGGAATTTGGGGGGGGTCGTGTTCCCCTCACGTTCTGAGGGGGGGCGCGGCCCCTGACACCCTCAGGGGTTTTGGGGGCTCGGAATTTTGGGGGGGGGGGGGTCCCTGAGAGTCTCAGAGCTGGATTTGAGGGGGGGTCTCCTCTATTTGAGGGGGGGTCGTGTCTCCCCGGGGGTGTCAGCGCCGTTTTTGGGGGGTTCTGTTCTGAGGGGGGGTCGCGTCCCCCTGGCACCCTCAGGGGGTTTTGGCGGGCTCGGAATTTTGGGGGGGGTCGTGTTCCCCTCACGTTCTGAGGGTGGGCGCGAACCCCTGACACCCTCAGGGGTTTTGGGGGGCTCGGAATTTTGGGGGGGGCTCCCTGAGGGTCTCAGAGCTGGATTTGGGGGGGTCGTGTCTCCCCCCAGTGTTTTTTTGGGGGGCTGTTCTGAGGGGGGGCGCGGCCCCTGACACCCTCAGGGGGATTTGGCGGGCTCGGAATTTTGGGGAGGGGTCCCTGAGGGTGTCAGGGCCGGATTTGAGGGGAGGTCGCGTCCTCCCGGGGGTGTCAGCGCTGGATTTTTGGGGGGGTTCTGTTCTGAGGGGGGGGCGCGTCTCTATGAGGTTTCAGGGGGTTTTGGCGGGCTCGGAATTTGGGGGGGGCTCGTGTTCCCCTCACGTTCTGAGGGGGGGTGCGAACCCCGGAGACCCTCAGAGGAATTTGGCGGGTTCGGAAATTCAGGGGTTGTCCCTGAGGGTGTCAGGGCCGGATTTGAGGAGGGGTCTCCTCTATTTGAGGGGGGGTCGTGTCCCCCCGGGGATGTCAGCGCCGTTTTTGGGGGGGTTCTGTTCTGAGGGGGGGTCGCTTCCCCCTGGCACCCTCAGGGGGTTTTGTTGGGCTCGGAATTTGGGGGGGGTCGTGTTCCCCTCACGTTCTGAGGGGGGGTCGCTTCTCCCCGATACCCTCAGGGGGATTTGGCGGGCTCGGAATTTTGGGGAGGGGTCCCTGAGGGTGTCAGGGCCGGATTTGAGGGGGGGTCGCGTCCTCCCGGGGGGTGTCAGCGCCGTTTTTGGGGGGGTTCTGTTCTAAGGGGGGGTCGCGTTCCCCTGACACCCTCAGGGGGTTTTGGCGGGCTCGGAATTTTGGGGAGGGGTCCCTGAGGGTCTCATGGCTGGATTTGAGGGGGGGGTCGTGTCCCCCCCCAGTGTTTTTTTGGGGGCTTTTCTGAGGGGGGGGGCGCGGCCCCTGACACCCTCAGGGGGTTTTGGCGGGCTCGGAATTTTGGGGGGGGTCGTGTTCCCCTCACATTCTGAGGGTGATCGCTTCTCCCCGATACCCTCAGGGGGTTTTGGCGGGATCGGAATTTTGGGGGGGGTCCCCTGAGGGTCTCAGAGCTGGATTTGAGGGGGGGTCGCGTCCTCCCGGGGTTGTCAGCGCCGTTTTTTGGGGGGGTTCTGTTCTGAGGGGGGGGTCGCGTCTCCCTGACACCCTCAGGGGGTTTTGGCGGGCTCGGAATTTGGGGAGGGGTCCCTGAGGGTGTCAGGGCCGGATTTGAGGGGGGGTCGTGTTTCCCCCCAGTGTTGTTTTTGGGGGGCTGTTCTGAGGGGGGGCGCGGCCCCTGGCACCCTCAGGGGGATTTGGCGGGCTCGGAATTTGGGGGGGGGGGGGGTCGTGTTCCCCTCACGTTCTGAGGGGGGGGCGCGAACCCCGGAGACCCTCAGGGGTTTTGGGGGGCTCGGAATTTGGGGAGGGGTCCCTGAGGGTGTCAGGGCCGGATTTGAGGGGGGGTCTCCTCTATTTGAGGGGGGGTCGTGTCCCCCTGGGGCTGTCAGCGCCGTTTTTGGGGGGGTTCTGTTCTGAGGGGGGGTCGCGTTCCCCTGACACCCTCAGGGGTTTTGGCGGGCTCGGAATTTTTGGGGGGGTCCCTGAGGGTGTCAGGGCCGGATTTGAGGGGGGTTCTCCTCTATTTGAGGGGGGGTCGTGTCCCCCCGGGGGTGTCAGCGCCGTTTTTGGGGGGGTTCTGTTCTGAGGGGGAGTCGCGCTCCCCTGACACCCTCAGGGGGTTTTGGCGGGCTCGGAATTTGGGGAGGGGGTCCCTGAGGGTGTCAGGGCCGGATTTGAGGGGGGGTCTCGTCCTCCCGGGGGTGTCAGCGCTGGTTTTGGGGGGGTTCTGTTCTGAGGGGGGGTCGCTTCCCCCTGACACCCTCAGGGGGTTTTGGCGGGCTCGGAATTTTGGGGGGGGTCCCTGAGGGTCTCAGGGCTGGATTTGAGGGGGGGTCGTGTCCCCCTGACACCCTCAGGGTTTTTGGGGTGCTCGGGATTTGGGGGGGGGGGTCCCTGAGGGTGTCAGGGCCGGATTTGAGGGGGGGTCTCCTCTATTTGAGGGGGGGTCCTGTTCCCCCAGCTGTGGTGTTTTTTTGGGGGGGCTGTTCTGAGGGGGGTTTGTCCCCCTCAGGGCCTCAGGGGGGTTTTGGGGGCGTCTCAAGGCTGGATTTTGGGGGGGTCCCTGTCCCTTTTAGGGGACTCTGATTTTTGGGGTCTCTGATTTTGGGGCTGTAATTGAGGGGGGGTCTTGGCTGTATTTGGGGGGGGGTCCCTGACCCTTTTAGGGGACTGTGAGTTTTTTTGGGGGGGGGGTCCCTGTCCCTTTTAGGGCTCTCGGATTTTTGGGGTCTCTGATTATTTTTGGGGGCAGTCCCTGTCCCTTTTAGGGGAACTCTGGTTTTTTGGGGTGGTCCTTGTGCCTTTTAGGGGATCTCTGATTTTTGGGGTCTCTGATTTTTGGGCTGTAATCGAGGGGGGGTCTCGGCTGTATTTTGGGGGGGTCCTTGTCCCTTTTAGGGCTCTTGGATTTTTGGGGTCTCTGATTTTTTTTGGGGGGGGTCCCTGTCCCTTTTAGGGGGACTCTGATATTTTGGGGGGGGTCCTTGACCATTTTAGGGGGACTCTGATTTTTGGGGTCTCTGATTTTTGGGGTCTCTGATTTTTGGGGGGGTGGGCTCCCCTTTTAGGGGGGTTTCTGATTTTGGGGTCTCTAATTTTTGAGGGGGGGTCCCTGATTTTTGAGGGGGTCCCTTTAGGGGGATCTGTGATTTTTTTTGGGGAGGTCCCTGATTTTTGGGGTCTCTGATTTTTGGGGTCCCCGATTTTTGGAGTCCCTGATTTTTGGGGTCTCTGATTTTTGCCCTCCCCCCTCCCCAATTCCTGGTAGTTTTTTTTTTAGGATCATGGAATTTTTTAGGGGGGGGGGAATTTTCCAGCTGGAATCTCCTCCCATTCCCTAAAATTTTGGGCTCAAAATTCCCGAATTTTCCTCCTGGGGGTGGCAGCAAAAAAATTGGGATTTTTCCCTTGGGATTTCTGTAGGATCCGAGGGAATTTTTGGGGATTTTTCCACCTCCTGATCCCGAGGGA